GATTGTGAATGTGTATTTGCAATGATTTTACAAATCTAATATCTATTTTTTTTTGTTCAGGGCAGAGTACATAAAATGTCAATGAATTTTATCAAGATTAATATTGTTAATTTATTTCTAACTCCGCGTATTCTATGCATAATTGACAACTATTTTATTATATCCAGAATATCAACGTTAAGGCAAATGAAATTGGATTAGAGTTAATGTTGGGATATTATGTTAGTTTAGATGAACGAAACACTTGTATGCTGTATAGAAATGCCATTTCACTTTTAGAATAAGTTTATATATCATTAAACCATGTAATTTATTTTCTGTATCAATAAAGTCACATTTAACAATGTAATTATTTCCTTGTTTATATTTATACTGACAAACTTTTGAATTATTCATACCCTGTATAAAATAATGTCAAACGCTCAATCTATTGATTTATTAAGAGAGTTAAATGCTAAGTTCTTAGATAAGATTGCCAAATTCAGGAAGAAGTTTGCTGAAATTGAGGGCAAGAATGTTGAGATTCCTGAACTTAGAAGGAAGGTTGCAGAGGTTGAGGCTGAAAATGCAAAGCTGAGGCAAATTATTAAAGAGAATGCTAGGCGTGATGTTAAAATCAAGGAACTAGAGTAAAAAAATAGAGAACTTGAGACCAAACTCACAATAGTGGAACAGAGTTCTGTGGCAGTATCAAAGAATAATAAGAAAGCAATTGTAAAGCAATCAGCCCCATCTTCTTACATATACTCGAATGTAGAAATAAAAGTAAAGGCAAAAAACACTGAAAAGTGTTTCGCTGAAGATTCTTCATCTGATGATAATTTACTATTGATTCCCAACTATAGTCAAAGAAAGCAAGACCAATCTCCGCCATCTTATGTGAGTAATCAGAAATCATCAGTAGACAAGGAAATGGATACTTTCTTGAATGATGCATATAAGAAAAGTGTTAGTGATGGGATAAGGCGGTGCAATAAGAAGAAACTTTTGCGTGAGACAGCCTCCTTTAAAGTATTACCTTCTGCGGAAAATAATCTGACTGTTTTCTCAAGAAATGATAAAATTGAAAGTAGTACAAAAACTGTTTCCTCAGGAAATAATCAGATGGTTTCAGAGAAGTCAGAAAAAATCGAGAAAACTTCAAAAAATCAGCAAAAGGTTATTCAAGATTTTGACGACTCTGATGAGATTGAGCTCACTAAAAATCAGAATATAGAACTTGATTTAATATGAGATTTACAGAGTGACAGTATTATTTCTTCACCTTCTGAAATTAGTAAGCAGTATTTATTCTCTTGCGAAGCATCTTACAGCCAAATTACAATATAAAGCCTAATCCATTTATTTTGAAATGCAACACGAGCTGAATATGAAGAGATTTTGTCCTGGATTCATTATTCAGATAATTTTAAAAATAAGATTATTGAAATTCGTCGTAAAATAGGAGTTACTGATAAAACTGCAAGAACTCAAATATACAAGAAAATGTTAGAACATCTGGCTGGTGTTACGTCTGTTACCTTACGAATTAAAACTCTTAGAGCTAAAAAAATTCGCAAATTGTTTGAAGAGAATAGTGTAGGAATTAATAAGATTAAGTGTGTCAATTGCAGTGCAAATGAGATTTCAAAATTAATTAATAAACAAATTCAAAATGTTATAGATCAAGTAACTTCAAAACCGTTTCCTCAGAAAATGATCAGAGTCACGTGCTTTTGAAAATCACCAATGGTGATGCATCTTCGAAACTTAAGGTAAATGTTTCTACCACATCTCTTTCACCAATTCCTAGGACTACTTATGATTGATCCTATTTTCACAACAAGACATTAGACTAATATCCTACTTTATATAGAGAATTTAGTAGTGAAAATTTTGACTATTATAGTATTACTGACGAGATATCTTGCGATCCCAAAAGGACTTGCCCATTATGCAGTTTAGATCATGATGATGAGAAAAGTATAGAAGGTAGATATAAGGCTGGATCTTATTTTATTAAGTGTGAACAATGCGAAATTGAGATAATTGCATAGTCTCATTATTTTTTATATATGTAAACTATTACCTAATTTAAATTGATTTGTAATCATAGAAAAAAAGGAAATATAAGCAAATCCAATAAAATATTAACTCCTGAATATCTGGATTAGCATGTCAAATTAACTGAATTACCAAGCATTTTGACGGATAAGATTCAGTCCAGCTTATACAAAAAATATAAAAAAGAAACTGGGTATGAGCCAT